CTCGCTGCTGGCTGCCATCCTCAACAGATGCTTGGAGCTGCACTACTTTCCAAGCATCTGGAAGGTGGCAAAAATCATCCCGATCCGCAAACCTGGGAAAGACCCTTCACTACCGTCAAGCTACAGACCGATTAGCCTGCTCTCAGCGCTGAGCAAGCTGTTCGAAAAATTGATCCTCAGCCGACTAAACAAGTTTGTGGAGGAACATGACATTCTTCTTCCGGAACAGTTCGGGTTCCGTAAGGGGCATTCCACCAATCATCAGCTAGTGCGGGTGATGAATAACATCCGGAGTAACAAAGCTGTATCCAAGTCCACAGCCATGGCCTTGTTAGACGTCGAAAAGGCGTTTGACAATGTCTGGCACGACGGACTTATATACAAGCTTTGTAACTCCAACTTTCCACCATACCTTGTGAAAATCACCCGTAACTATCTCCAGCAAAGGTCGTTCAGGGTGTCGTTGAATAGTTCCCTTTCGGGACAATTTCCGATCCCAGCAGGTGTTCCGCAATGGAGTCTGCTGGGACCACTGCTTTACAGCATCTACACGTCGGACATCCCTCCTCTAGGAGACGGTTGCGTGTTCTTTCTGTTTGCAGATGACACCGCGATAGCCGTCAAGGGTAGGATGCCTCGTGAAATTACGAACAAGCTCCAACGATGCCTTGACACCTTTACTGATTATGCCACCACGTGGAAAATCAAAATCAACGCCTCAAAAACCCAAGCGATCATGTTCCTTCACAGACAATCATTAAAACTTAAACCGTCTCCCTCCTGTACCGTAATAATGGATGGTACAAAGGTCGAGTGGTCCACTGATGTTACTTATCTCGGGATGTTGTTCGATGAGAAGCTCCTGTTCCGCTCGCACATAGAGAAAACCCTAGTTAAGTGCTCCGCCTTGGTTAGGTGTTTGTATCCGCTCATTTGTCGCAGATCCCGCCTCTCAAGGCAAAACAAACTGGCTGTTTACAAACAGATCATAGCCCCCGCGATCTTCTATGCCGCCCCGGTGTGGGAATCGTGCGCTCAGACCCACAGGAACAAAATCCAGGTTGCACAGAATAGAGTGTTGAGGATGATCCTAGATCGTCCATTCGACACAAGAATAGCAGACCTCCATCAAGAGGCAGAAATTCCCAAAGTAGATTCCAAAATTGATGATATGACAACTAAATTTATTCAAAAATGCAATCTTTCTGAACATGCTTTAATAAGCAATTTGTACATAGTAGGTTAAGTGTATATAGTAGAGTAGGTTAGTTTTAAGCTGTAAATAGTAGTATTAAGTAGTTTCTCTTCAAATTCTAAAAACAAAACAAACCAATCCCACCAAGGTGGTCGACCGTGTACTAAGTCTAGGACTAATTCTGTAAAACAAATTTTGAATTTTGCCCATACCTAAAGATGAAGAAAGCAATTAAATCACTTAGTAAAAATTTATATGGTAATCGTCCAAGTTAAACTAAAATAAAGATCATTTAAACTAAGGTATTAGCTCATTTTCGCTTCGGACGGCGTGGTGAACAGCAATAGCAGCAGTAGGAAGGTGGTGGTTAGTCCACTCCTTCACACCTAAAAAGCAACAATTGACTGTGACTGGTCGTGGCAAAGGAGGAAAAGGTCTGGTAAAGGAGGCGCCAAGCGTCATCGCAAAGTTCTTCGAGATAACCACCATCGGTCGTCTGGCTCGCCGTGGTGGTGTCAAACGTATCTCCGGTCTGATCTACGAGGTGTGCTAAAGGTGTTCCTTGAAAATGAGGTCCGTGATGCTGTCACCTACACTAAACGCGCCAAGCGTAAGTTCTCATGGATGTCCGCTTCAATAAAACGGCTCTTTTCACGGCCATCAAGCTTACATCAGTAAACAGTTGGAATAGAATTTATCTGTGCTTGTTTGTCCATATTCAGAACCACAAGCTCCCAACGACCACACAAAACGCTCTCCAGAGTTGTAATCTTGTTACCAAACTTGGAAGCAGGGGTGCAAATGATTTTGAATGATTCTCTTAATCAACTTTCTCTTTGAAAAAAAGTAGAAGGGTCTGTGCTTAGGGGCACGAACGGAAGCTTGACGTAGGACCGCTAGTGGACGGAATAAATGTGAAGAGCATTTAGTTCTTTTAATTGATGAATTATCTATTACCTCAACTCTTTCCGTTTTTGAATTGTAGGCGTACCAAATTTTTAGTATTTTTTTTTTCAAAGAGAAAGTTGATTAAGAGAATCAATCAAAATCACTTGCACCCCTGCTTCCAAGTTTGGTAACAAGATTACAACTCTGGAGAGCATTTTGTGTGGTCGATAGGGGGCTTGTGGTTCTGAATATGAACAAACAAGAACAGATAAATTCTATTCCAACTGTTTACTGATGTAAGCTTGATGGCCCTGAAAAGGGCCGTTTTATTGAAGCGGACATCCATGGCCACTTACGCTTGGCGCGTTTAGTGTAGGTGACAGCATCACGGACCTCATTTTCCAGGAACACCTTCAGCACACCTCGAAGATCAGACCGGAGATACGTTTGACACCACCACGGCGAGCCAGACGACCGATGGCGGTTATCTCGAAGAACTTTGCGATGACGCTTGGCGCCTCCTTTACCAGACCTTTTCCTACTTTGCCACGACCAGTCACAGTCAATTGATGCTTTTTAGGTGTGAAGGAGTGGACTAGCCACCACCTTCCTAGTGCTGCTATTGCTGTTCACCACGCCATCCGAAGCGAAAATGAGCTAAACCATACAGCAGCGCTCTTTTACATCTTTTCAGGTTAAAGCAGAATGATATGCATCCAAGTGGTATAAAAGCTACAAAGGCTCCTCCCATTATGAGTAGTTTGCTATCAAGTGGCGACACTGGCTCTTTTCCTTTTGCGCACACGGCGAATGAGAACGACCCAAATTTGAGTTTAGTTCACTCATAATCGCCAAAAGTGCAGGAACTCAGCGATGAGTAAATTTGTCTCATGGTTTCCTGTAGAAAACCTAAAAAATCTGCCAGATAATAAGGAAATTGACGAAAATTTTATTCAGTCCCGGAGTAGTACCAATAGACTGAGTGAATCCAATCTTTACTTCTCAAATTCGGGAATTTTTCCCTGGAAAATCCTGGAACAACCTGGGAAAACATGAGGCAAATTTAGTCATCGCTGAGTTCCTGCACTTTATTTCTTATTTCTGAGATAACAAAACTCAAATTTGGGTCGTTCTCATTCGCCGTGATATCACCTTGAAAGATATCGGCGCCGGTGGTTAGCGTGATTACCTCTCACCCCAGCAGGCTTGCGTTCAATCCCAGTCGGCGCCGCCGGGATGTTCTGAGGCATAACATCTCTTCGAAAAGGAAAGCCGTTGGTCCTCGGTTGAGTTGTTGGGTCGATTGGTAGGGTCTAGGTGTGGGAGCTGCCTCCCTGGCGTCGGTAGCTCAGTACGGAAAACAAATCTCGCGTCACTTTTCAATAGCTCCTATCTACATTGATCGATTCTCTTCATCGACACTCTCTTTCGTAAAAAGAGAGCTTTCCTGCCGTCTTCGTCGAATTAGATGCTAGATTGTTGCTTCTTCCATCGAAAATATCCGGCCATGGCGATTCAAAGTTGAACAAAATAATTTGTACCCCTGCTTTCAGTTTGATTACATGAGCATTTTGTGTGATCGTTGGTTCTGAATATGGACAAACAGGCAGATGAATTCTATTCCTACTCTTTACTGTAATAAGCTTGATGGTCCTGAAAAGAACCGTTTTGTTGCCAAAGTTGGTGATGATTAAACCTCCGAAACCAAACAGAGTGCGTCTTCGTCACTCAAAACGTAGACGACATCCATGGCCGCTTACACTTGGCGTGTTTAGTGTAGGTGACAGCATCATGGATCTCATTTTTCAGGAACACCTTCAGCACACCTCGTAAATCAGACCGGAGATACGTCAGACACCGCCACGGTGAGCCAGACGACGGATGGTGGTTATCTCGAAAAATTTGCGTTTGGTCCTGAATATGGCGATGAGTATGCAACATATTACGCAATTCCATCTTACCTACTCGCACGCGCCCAAGGATCGGAGCCGAATGCCACTTCGACTTGTTTCGTCTACTTACTACTCTCTGACGACTGTGCTGGGGAAGCAACATATGCATGTAGGTAATTGGTGGATTTGTTAGTTAATTCGACGCTTTTGGACAACGCTGGACACTTACCAGTTTTTCAATAGTTTATTGTTGAAAATCAACATTCGGAAACATTGTTATCGATGCGTGGCCATATTTCTGATTGATTGGTGGATAAAATTATTGAAATTGGACCAGGGGTAGCTGAGTTATTAACGTTCAAAATCTTTCTTAATTTGTTACATGTTCCATTTTCGGTTTTCACAAAGTGTACCCCCATATAGAAATCAAAGACGTAGTCCTACGTCAAAAACTATATTTCAAATAGGACTCTCATGCCAGTATCCACAGAAAGCTCGATACTTAAATTGATGTCTAGCGAAGCAGCTAAGGCTGTAGAATTTAATGATAATTACTTAACGTGGATTGCGTTTGAAACTGGACTACACCAAACATACAAAACAAAGTGTGTTCGTTTCCTTCAAATCGTTTTGGTGCCTTCGGTACACTTATTTCTTGCCCCATGGGATAAGTGCACCGAAGACACCGAGACGATTAAACCGAAACTCGCACTCTTATCTCATTTTTTTTATATGTGCCAACGTGCTTATTTGTGCAGTTTGCTGAGAAGTACGCTATACTAGATATTATGAAAAATAAAGTCTAATAAGAGAAGCATAGCAGTTTTGGCACTACTTAAAATTTGCTCCAGTTTTGATATGCACCTGTCATGACTTAGGGTAGGACTAAAATCGATACAATTGCTTATATGGGATCGTGCCCCTATGGTCAAAAAATAATGCTTCTTAGTGTAAAACGAACACTCTTCAGAAAATATATTAAATATTAACAGGGCCGTCATCGTGTCAAATAATTTTAAGCCAGCTTTTCTAATATTTTGAACAACAATCGTAGTCTCTTTATTACCATTTTTTTTCTTCAATATTTTATTTTTCTTGTTTCTTCATTATTTCATCCTACGCTTAATGTACTCTATCTTCGAATAAATTATAAATAGGTATAAGGATATAAACAGCCTTACGAGAGAACCAATCGTTTTAAACAAAAATCGCTAAAGATAAAAGTGCATCGAAAAATTTCAATCGTTCCTGTATTGCGATTCTCCTTCACTATCACCACTAACTACCATCGATCGTTCTGTGCGGCTTACCGTTGCGTTCATATCCTACATCACGACGACTAAACGAACCAAAAGATCAAAATCGATTCGCGAGGGTGACACGGTAAATAAAGGTGAATCATGAACCCTTTCCCCCACGCTATCATTTACGTAGTCCTCGTTAACAAAATTACCGTTCCGTTCCACACACCACGGCCGGTTCGGTTCTGACAGATAACAAATGTTATCATTTAACTGCGGGAAGAAGGATGAGAATTGTGAGTGGAAAAATAAAAAAAAATATGTCACCCAATTTTGACACAGCTGTTCCTGCTGGAACGGTGCTGCGGTAGAACACGTGTCCAGACTGAACTGAAAATGTAGCAACTTCAATTTCCGGAATTCGATACTCCACACAAATTTCACGTCGTTTTCTGTTGCTGTTTTTGATTAATTATCGTTATTATTAAATACAATTTTGTCACAATCGGTCTCACTCGGGGAACAGCATAAATTTATATGTATTTTCGTTTATTTATTTATGTTTTCGTTTTGCTTTAGCTTTTTTTTTTTTATATTCTGAATAAAAAAAAAATGTTTGCACTGAAGGAGGTGGTGTGATAATTGCCGTTGATATGAAGTTAATAGCACATATTATTATGGGATGGCGAGAGAACGTTACTCACTTGAATAATTGGATATTAATTTGTAATTTTTCTGAAACCATCCCTGCTGTCCGAGGACAGTGTTTTTGTTCTTGTTGATGTAGTGAGGTTGAGCTTTTATCTACTGGTTGATTTAATATTGTTGGTTTTTGGCTGACAGTACTGGCTACCGAGTAAGATTTGTAGTACTATTCATCATCTTGCAATTTGGTTGGCGCAAAAGTACGGAACAGACGAGGAGGATGTTCGATATCTTATCTTAAGGGGTTGAAACAATTTTGCCACTCCGTTCAGATGTATGGGGTAATGGGAAAAACGGGTTCGGAACGTGTACAATAGAGTTGTAAAACTTAACAGGAAAAAAACAAGAACATCTAATATCATCTAACGTTTAAAACGTAAATATGGTTCCACGAGGGGACTCTCGAATAAGTTTTGCTCATTTACAACTTTGGCCTCTCATTGCTGCGGAACGGTCCGCGTGCTACGAATATGTATATGTATATCTTTCTTTATAAGTGGGCTATACACAGTTAATCCTATTGATCTAATAAACATCAGAACTTTACAACCATTCAATCGAAATATTTAGAGCGTACATATCTCATCTAGCCCTGTGTGTATGTGCCTCGTTCGCTATCATTTTATGATAATGATCTTGCAATGAACTAATTATCAACCCGACTAATGCCACATTCACTAACGGAAAACTTCCGTTTTACAGTTTTCCATTTCGCGGCTTCATTCACTCTCGCTTTTCTTGGTTGCTTATTTTTCGCGTTTCGCTCACTCACTCACATCTGGATTAGACTATGTACAATCTTCTGTATCGGTCGACTCGATTTGCACCGTTGCTCTTCAGATTAATCAATATCTTATAGAGACGTCTTGTCCGCCTGGGACGATAGGAACGCTAGGAGAAGTTGTCATTGTTGCCCAGATGGTTTTGACTGCCGTCAAACTCTTCTTCGGAGGCCTTCTTGAGGCAGTCTCGTACGGCTTGCAGAATGATTGCTACCCTACGGTCCAGTGCGGCCAAGTGCGGTTCCCAGAGCACAGGTGCAATCGGATCGGCGGATAGCGTCTCTCGAATTCGTTCCGCCAGCGATTTTGGTCCATTGTGGAACAACAGCAACGTTTCTAGCGTTGATGATCGAATCAGACAACACTGAAGCAGTGGTGCCAGAATTGAGAGTTCATCGTGGAACGGTCGACCGAAGCCTCGGCCGTGATCCAGATGAATCGGGAACGTATCGTTTCCGAAGATTTTGAACGTTTCGTAGTGATGTCGGTCCATGTTTCCAATGAGGAAATCAAACACCGACATATCCATCAGATCGAGCAATCGGCGGTCCTCGTCGTATGGGGGAATGTCACGAACCATGGCGCAGTAATCGGGATCAGTTTCCCACTGTGCCTTTCTGCGTTTGTGATACGACCGACGCCAGGGATGGCGCCACACTTTTCGTTGGGTGTCCTGCTGAGTAGGCAGGAAGGCAGCAAACGAGCCTTCCAACGTGTCCGGACTGCCACAGATGGCATGGGATGTATCACAATAGTAGGAACATTTACCGTGGAAACACTTGTTCCGTGCAGGTGATATGAAGAACGTTTTCAGCAGGTTATCATCGCAAACCCTCTCGATTTCAGTGGTAATGTTGAGAAGTCGCCCGGTAACTGGCATTGCCCGCCGGAATCCCATTATCCGATCCAGATGGAAAGCTGCAATCTCGGCCGTGTGCCGTTCGTAGTCGGTAAAATAGAAATGATTTGGCAGCGTTTGCTGTTCCCGTGGGAAGCGCATAGGTTTGAACAGAGCATGAATATCGTTGGGATATTCAATGATCAACTTAATCTGGGTGCCACCTTCCTTCTGGACAACGTGCTTGATTGGTAGCGTAACCATGTCCTTTATCACAGCATCCACGAGCTTGTCCGTTTCGGGGTAGAGCTCATTTTTAGTAATGGAAAGTTGAAACTTTTCCAGATTGCTTGCATTGCTGCTGATCCGCAGATCAAGCATTTCCGCAAGCGATGGATTGACGTCGTCCGTGTAGTCTTCTTTTATCACTATCCGTTCGAAGTGCTGTGGATTGCGACGGTTCTTCGGTGCCACTACTATTGCGGTAAGATCCTTGAACCGATCATGAGGAGGAGTAGTGGTAATCTGTTTACTTGGGTACCCAGAACCGGAGGTTTCAGTCCGGCCTCGGGTATGTGGATTTGTGGTAAGATACTCCTTAGAACCGGATGCATTACTTTTGGCAAGATACTTCCGGTGAAACTCGTTATAGATTCCATTTTTGTCGTCTTGGCTGGCGAACCGTATCCGCGCATGGGAGGGAATAAATTCACCTCTGGACACTCCAAGGTCCATCTGTAGATCGATCACCAGTAGCAAGGTGAACAGCACCAGCGAGGCACCGAAGCCAAGCGCCAGCCGCTCTTTCAGCTTCTTCGACCGAATCCAGTACATCTTCATTGATCTTACGTTCTGGCCGTGGTCAGGGTCGCACGGGCGACTGATCCGCTCACTTCAAACACCAATTATCGAATGATTGCCACTCACAACACTTTCGATTCCACTCGATTCATGACCAGAGTAATCTTTTGCAACATCACCAAGTGGTACATTTTATGCGACTCAGCAAATCACTCCGTGCGCTCAACTACCTAGCTCACACGTAACACTACCAACCGACAGAAATTGTTTTTACTTTTTCGTCACTATCACTGTTAGAGGTACACTGAAAAAGGGCACCCTCTACACCGGCCACGACACGCTATGCTTATGCACTTTGATTGTTTTTCACCGGTGTCAGCATTTTCGAACGTTTTACTTCTCTTCACATCCAATGCCACAGCAACACCGCTTGAATCTGCTGCAGTCTACAAAGACGACGATCCTTCACCACTTGCACCACGAGGCCGCTGATTCAGCTGATTCAAACAAAAACATGACATTTGCCGTTCATCCAACTTGGGCCAATCTGCTCTCATCTAGCCTCTAGACTCAGGCTGTCGTCACGTGGCCCTTCTGGGTACGTCTATTTCACAAACAGCCCACTAGTTTCAAGATGCTACCCAAGATGCTTGCTCCAGCAAATTATTGTGTGAACTACGGAAAGCAGTTTCTTTCAACTCCCGCAGCTTCGCGACGAGCACTTGCGAAATCACTCGGTTCTCGCGCACTACTAGCGGCGCAATTTTGTGATAAGATTAAGCTTTCCGCTAAACTCTCTTTATTTTTCTCTCTCTCTCTCTTTGTTTCACTGCTGGTTCTCTTTCCAGTCTCACACAAACGAACAGAAAAAGCCTTGCAATTTCAATAACAACCCGACCTTCGTGCCGCACTCTCGTCCAACACTTTCGCACAACAAAAAAAAAACCAGAATATCAAATCTCCAAGTTCTACACTTAACAATTGCCCCGAAGAAGCGACACACAATGGTGCGAAAAAAGCACCGATCATTTACATAATCTTCGCTGCCTCCCGCTCGGGGCAAAACGAGGTTACCGACGTCGTCTTCGCGGATCGCACCGGAGCGCTTCTTCACATCAATTCACTGTTTGAGAACTCTGCTCCGATGGTGTTTTTTTTTTGGGCAGCCTCTGGGCTACAGGCTGCAGAGTAGCGCGCCTGGTGTCTCGCGTGGGCTCTGAATCGATACTGAAATCAAAGCTACCAGTGGTGGGTGCACACCAGCGAGAGAAAGAGCAGATTAATGGCCGGCACTTTCCCGGTACCTTTCCTTTTTGTTTCTTTCTGAACAGCTGAGAGCTGCTACCTGGCGACTTCGTTTTTGGTTTTGTTTTGATACAAGTGCCTTTCCGCGTGTGGTGGCTCGACAGGCAGGTGCGTTCGGTGTTCGACTTGACTTGAATGAAATTTAACGACTATCTGGAAGGTGTTGTTATCGTTCACCCAAAACCAGCACCATCAGTTGTAGCAGTAGGGGTGATGAAGCCCGATTTGGTTGGTAGTGCTGTTGTCGTTGTCGTCGTTGCCGTTGTTCGATACCTAGCGATTGGTACATGGTGTTCAGCGTTTCTACCGAACTTCCGAGGAGACGGTTGGCCTCGTGAAATGAGGATGACAATTGCTTTGAGCCGATAACAATGGGATGGAATCTCAGCAACGGTTAGGATTTGTACCTATGGAGCGGTTGGTGGCTGAAATAAGAAGAAACAGAGAACAGACAATGAAGATCGGTAAAGTTGGGCGTTTATGTATACATGCTTTTTTTTTATACATCTCTAGAGCAAATAGTCATAACGTTGTAGCTGATTTTGTAAACAACGACCTCAAACGTCAATTTGTCGAAACGGATAGCTCGCCCACGCAAACTAACACCACCATCAGGTTGGAAAACCTTTGCCTATTGGATGATAGTGTTAGTTTGCGTGGGGGAGCTAGCAGTTTTGGCTAATTGACGTTGGAAATCATTGTTTATAAAGACAGTAATCGACGTTTAAGCCACTTGCTCGAGAGTTTGAAAATTTAACATTATAGCTTTTGCAAATTTGGAATATTTTATATTGTAAAAATTGACAGACTATCCGGTAGTATTATCTTTTAAGGAAGAAACCAACACGTGAAAAAATCCCGATAAACATTATCCAAACATAACGTTAAGATGACCAACTAGTTCATTTGAATTCATGACTTAGTTCCCGTAAGCGTGCTCGAGTAAATCAAATGTTCAAGAAATTAATCTCAAATCCATGAATTTAGTTCACGCATGTTCAGCGTGATCGGTGATTTCGTAACGGTACAGAAAATCCAAAATAAAATCATGGTTCCATGTATCCATAAGTGTGGTTTTCGTTCCTGCAATCGTGAACTTGGATTACATGCAAAGCTGCAGCTGTCGTTTTAGTTGTTGTCGAACTTATCCCCTACAAAGTGCTCGGAATCGTCAAGAATGGTGTGTTAATTATTAGTGCATGCAGCTGAGGTAATTCAATACGACCCATGTAAGCTGATGAATAAATCCTCGAGCTCTTTCTTGGTAGTTGTCACCGAAGCAATTGGGATGAATCTGGTGGTGGGTATGTTTTTCCGCTGGTTCGGACCCTAGAAATAGCATGCGGGAAAAGGTAAGAAAACACCGAACATACGATTTTTTCGGTTGCAGGACTGTTTGCGGCTTGTTGCTTGTCAGGGCCGTCTTAACCACCCTTGGAACCCGTGGTATTTTTTTTTATTGTGGGGCCCCCTATGATTTGATATCATTTTTCAAATTCTAGCACACATGAAATTAAAATAGGTACGTGCGACAATCCTTTTTCGTTTAAATTTATTTTTCCTACCTCCTTTTACTTCAAAACACATCAACTAAGACCGTTTACGACTCCTTATACTTGCAGATTTGTGAATGAAAATATTGATATAAATTTTCATCAATATTTCGTACTCAATATTCATGATAGGGGAAAGGGATGTAATGTCGGCCTAAATGCCCCTAATTTGGGCCCATACATAAATTCAGCAATCAACTAAATTTTCAATAGCGACCAAAAATATCCATTAGTACCGTTCCAATGACGCATTGATCTTGATCAAATTGATAAATAGCAGATTTTTAGCGATTGGACCAATCTTAGATCCATAGGCCAACATTAAAGCCATTTCCCCTATATAACCAATTAAGTCTGGTTTATGGCATCCCTCAATTTATTTTTCAACTCATTTTAATCAATCTTGAGTAGTTGATAGTCATCATTGTAATAAATATCCTGAGGATTATTTCCACATCTGGGAAAACCAATAAACCAAATAGCCCATGATTTAAACTAATAGAATGCTTTAAAACCATGATTAAACTTACAATACTACGTGGGGTTTAGTTCATCTATTAATAATTAGTTTGTACAACTCATCTTCTTCTGGTTTCCAGTTCAGGCTTGCTAAAGACAAACGAGATGACTATCTAATCATAGTGCATTGGGAAAACACACACACACACACACTTAGTTAAAAAAAATCACCGTGCTTAAATATTACAGAAAACAACTCAATGCAGATCACACTCGTGACAAACGTCCCAAGTAGCAATTTGGGTTTTATGACGGTTCTGAAGACCATGATTTTGAGTTGTAGAACGCTTTAAATCCACGATAAAACTTGAAATGTTACTTGGGGTGAGTGGTTCGTGATTCAAAGGCTATAAGAAACGGATTACCAATTATTATTGCGAAATGCTCCGTAGGTTTCCTTCCACCAGGTTGCTTCAGCTTAATTCAACCCCAAAGTATCGCAATCTTAGACCCTCACCTATATAAAAAAAAAATAAGAAAACGTCTTTAATACGGTTTTTATGTAGCTATTTGATATTTTTGAACAACTTTACCCAAAAAACCAACTCCCTAGGACGCTTTATTTAGAAGATAAAATCGAGTGTATTCTACGTGGAGAACTAAACAGAAACCTTAAAGAGGTGGTGCTTTGCAAACCGAGCAACTTTGTCGAAGATCGTAGAGCTGTAGAAAATATGCACATGGCTCTAGAAATTTTGACCACGCTACCGGCATAACTGCCTTAATGTTCATTTGTATATGTCTAGATGAAGCTGAAACACAGCAAATTAAACAAATATCTTTAATGGTCATTTTCTCAACATGACATGGGACTAATATGCGAATACCTCCGGTCTACCTGTGCACAGTTCGAAAAAATAATGTAAATTTCTGTTCAGTATGATGCACATAAATGGAGCGTCACATATCATATAAGTTTAAATTATATATCATGTAAAGTTCTGAGACATTTCATGGAATGTAGTAAATATTGTATACAAAAGCCCATTGTTGTAAACAACATTGTTTACAAGTTGCTCGGTTGCGTGAAATTAAATACAAGTTTACGTGAATGAATATATACATCACTATTAAAATTCAAAATTTTATCTGTGTGAGCGAAAATTCATAGCCTTCTGAGAGCCTTCGGCTCATTTTATTTGATTATTTAAAAATAATCCCCTTTATTCAGATTGAGCATAAACCGGACCAACTCAGAATATGGGTTAAATTATTAACCTAAAAATGGTTAAATTTACGTAAAATTTGCATTTGCACCCTTATATGGATCAAATTTACCCATATTTAGGATAACAAATTTACCCATATTCTGAGTTTTACCGCTTTACACCCAGGCTGGGTCAAGTTTGTATGGTGGATCACAACCTACTGCTCTTTCGCTGGGACGCAACTTGACAATCGGGTAGCGATTTCGAGTCAAATCCGAGCCAGTTGCTGATTGGTTGATTTGACAGTTGCAATCGTGGAATAAAAAGGACTTACATCAATGCCGGAATCAATGTTGACGTCAATGCACAGTGGTTCAGAATGCAGATTTGGGTGGAAGGATATGTTTTGAGCCTGAAATTGAAACTTTAGACTAAAAGTCTCTTCTACAAAGTTGTTCTTTATAGTAAGGCCCTCATTTTAATGACAATGAATTCTAAGGTGGTTCTTATTATCATTATAATCAAAAATCTAACTTTTTTGTTTGAATAAATTAAGGTATACATTCTTCAGCAAAGTTAGGTATAGCTAAGCTAATTTAAAGCAACTTTGTTGAAGAGTTTTTTTTTGTATCTTTGGAATTGACTGATTTAGAGCTATTCTCTTGAATTGAATTAAGGTGTCTCTAAAAAACAGTTGTTTTGCTCTAGTTTTCTTATTTTAAATTTCTCAGCTAAGATGTCAGCAAATAACTTTTAGATCTTTAGAAGGCGCAAATTTTTGCAGCATAAAACTTGTCAATATCTTTCGCCGATCAAGAGCTATTGACGTTTTTCTACTAAAAATATTCCCTTTAAAATGTTAATATTTCTGGTTGGGGCAAACAATTTTCGACGGGCATTCATCAAAAATATTAAGAAGAATGAGAAGCTGGATTTTCAAGTCCCGTCATAGGTCTTTCGATGTGTATTGAGGCTTATTGCTCCGCGCATACCTACAAGCGTATTTATGAGCTTGTAGGTACGTGTGAACCACTTGGTCTAAAGTGAAAGATTAGTAACTTTTTGTACCAAGATCAAATGGATTTGCAGTCTTTGCCAAAGTTGTTTTCTATAGATTTTTGATAAGCTAATGAATGGGATCGCTCCGTTTCTCATACATTTTCCCATACAAAATTTAAATTCTCCCGAAAATGGAAACGATCGCAAAATTCAATCAAATTTTGCATAGTTTTTGGGGACCTCAATATGCGCTGAAAGAGCAGTGGGGAAAAGGAGGTTAAGTTGAGCCACCTTACTGTGCTCCGAAACGGAAAATTAGCGGGATAAAACTATTTACTCCGTTTCTATCCGTTTTAGGGGGTTAGTATCTTCATTGCAGTTGTTTATAGTTCAGACCCTGAAAGATCAACAAAGTAAAGCTGAAAGAAGAGCTGCAAAATGGAGCACATGCGACATGACAAAAGAGTGAGGCTCGTTAAGAAAATACCTGGAAATACCTGGGTACTGCGAACACAGCCGTTTTTGTTTTGCAAGTCAGCAGGAAACAACTTGAAAATTTTCCGATATCACAAATTGTTTTGCTAATGCACTGCTCACAATTTGCATATACATGCTGTCGAAAGTTCACCCTTTGCTCCATAAATAACGTGTACATGGTGTTGGGAGTGCACCTACCCACATGACTCTTATAAAGTTTGTTTGCATTCTTCCTTCAGCAGTTCGTGCAGGTTCGTTCGTTCGTTACATTGTTTACATCCGAGTATTTGAGCGAGTATTTGAGCAAGTTTTTTGTTGAAGAATATTAGTAAAAAAATGCCGAAATGACAATATTTTCAACATTGACCACAATACTTTCTCTGCCGACGGGGATTGTATGAGAAAAGTATCACTTTTAGCAGCTCTAGATCGTTGGATTCTTTTTGACAGCACCAGTTGGATTCTTTTTGACAACCATTTCGTGTTTCTCCGCACCACTCAGGGAAATACTGTCTATTTTCCGCACTGGTGTTACGGTTTTACAGGACGCAACTAGGATAATCATACAAAGATATTGGACGTCAAAATGTCGTAAAACATATCAAAAATAGCATGGGAGACTTTCGAGAGACAAGTTGTGGCTAGCAGTGATGCAGAGAAGGACAACGAGTTCACAAATAGGCACGACAGACGGGTGAAGAAACAGCAAAAGTTGGTGAGATCGTTTTAAATTTTAAATTTTTATTACTGCTCATGTTGGGATTGGGAGGGACCATCAGGACACCCGTGGGAATGCCAACATTAAATGATAACATTTCGTGGATAAGGAGCGGGCTCTTCTCCCCACTCATTGGGGCATTTTCCTGTTTTGGAGGCTCGTCTTTAAGACCAATTGTGCGATCATGTTTAGGACAATCAGAGGTTATATAGCTTGACTATCATCATCATCAAAGTATTTTTTTTTTACACGTTTTGGAAAGAGATATTACAAATCATAAAAATTAAAGGAAAAAAACGGTTTTTCCTGGATAAATCTTTTCCAATACTTTTAGAAAAATAAAAATGTAAATTTTTCGCCAGCCGCAGAAAGCTTCGCATTTAAATTAAACTTCCGTTTATAAAAGAGCTGACCACGCTCCTTATTTTAATTTAAATCAGGAATCTAAATTTGTTGTTTTAAGTTATAGGTGGTTACATTTTTCTGCAAAGTTGTAGAGTTATGTCCCAGCCTGCCTAAGATCCAGCCCATCCACCTAACATTGTAGTTTCCACGGCAGGCAAGCCATGCAACCAGCCAATTCATCATTCCCAGAAACAACATCGTCGTTCCCACATAGCGTCTGGAATAGATCAGATTCAGTTCCGACTAACCTCATCGAGTGCAACCTGAATCCCGGTACGTGACGATTCGATGGAGGACATCGTGGTGACGTAGACTGTTCCCAGCTGACCTCAGCAGTTTAACAGAATAGTTAGGTTGTTAGATGGTCGTAAGTAGAACAGGCAGTCAGTTCTTAGTTGACTCTAAAAGTATTCGGTTGGTAGTTCTAGTTTGATCTGTAGTTCTAATTTGATGAAGTGAATACAAGTGTTCAAGTGAACATAATGTTTTTTTAAAATTCCCTGGTGACAATCAGTACATAAGTGTAGAAAACAATATTTCAAGCAGCTTTGATCACGACACTATTTATCTAGCTTTTTATTTGAACATGCTAGAGCAATTTTTCTGCTTTTAATTTGGGTGTTTCGAAAAAGCGGTCTCCAAAAGAGTTGCAGGGAAAATTTAGCAGAACAAAGTGATGCGGTATATCCATAGAGGTAACTCTTAAACCAGAAGGTCCCGAAGAAACGAGCTCAACTTTTTGGCTCAGCTCTGGCACTATCTTCGCTAATCGATGCACCCCTCGAAACATAGGAAAATCCACTGACCCCTCATTTTATCTGTCAAACTTTCATAGCGAATCAAAACAAACATTGCGTAGTACTAGAATTTGGACTACAATGAGATACGTTAATCGATTTGCTTGGGACCAATAGGCTAGTCAAGTAGTGAGCCAATTTAAAATCGTTAGTTTCCACCGGTTGGTATTACTTAACATTCAAAAGTGATGGGTAATTTCAACCCAAAAACAGTTGACAGCTAAGCCCTGTGCGTGAAAGACGTGTTTCTTTTATCCGTCTCGTTATCAGGTTATAAGCTATTGAGTATTCTATCAGATGGGTGCTAAACGTGAGAACACCTTGGTAGTAGATTTTAGTGTGCTGCCGAAGCGACCAGATGCATCTGCCGTACAGAAATTCATGTACGGTGAGTTGAAACTGGACACAGCGGACGCCTCAAACATCCAGTTTCACAATGTTAAAAACTGTGTCTACGTCGAGATGGTAGATGCAGCAACAGCCAAGCGCTACTTTGCATCACATCATCTACAACACACTAGGCAGTGCGAGAAAAAAGCTTACAAAATTCCCGTGTTCGTGGAAGACGAAGCCGTTAACGTGAGAATCCATGATCTCCCTCCGAAAACACCTAACACGGTGATGATAGAAAGTATGCGACCATACGGTACACATCTAAATCTCAATTCTAGATGCTCAGCAAATTTTACACTAGCAAATCAATCTTCGAAAAATCTTCTTTCATTTCTCGCATCTACTTGCATCGCGCATGTACTTGCATCGCGCATCAATTTTTTGCAGGAAATCTTCAGAATCGCCATCAATCTTCTTTCTATGTACTCAGCGTGCGCACAGCTAATCACAGCAAAATACAATTTTGCCTGCATCGTAGATAGAGTCGTCCCCCTCGTCTACAATGGCGTACGTGTAGTACGGATGAAGCTCAAACAACTCATCCCTTCCTATCTGACGATCGACGGTGATACAACATTGATTACATATCGCAATCAAGCAAAAACATGTAGGTTCTGTGGTCAAAAGGCTCATCCCCGACAAAAGTGTAATAGCTCTACATCACGCATTACTGTCAATGACCCTACAGACGCAGCAAAGGTCACAAACGATGAAAACATCGAACAAACATTACTCGATACCATTCAAACCCAATCTACAATAGGCGAGACCAGCAAAAATACCCAGCACCAACACTCCGATGGAAATAATAGCGCACAAAAATCGACGGATATTGAATCGGATGATTTTCTAACCGTCACCAACAAAGTTCAATATTCTAAAATATTCTACTTAATCGACTTCTGCTTTACCGACTCTAAAAATGAATCGACAAATATATAAACAAAACTTCCAGAGGCCAGAGCTTTCACATATCTTTTTAAAGGGTCTGATTTGGGACTCAATCATGAACTGTTGGGGTGTGCAGCTGCCGGAGTCTTCGTTCGATCTCACTGTACCACGGTTGTTCTCATATATGAGGCGGGTTGATAGGATAAAGTCACAACTCTTGTTTTAGATGCAAAACACTTTAAATCCATCTGTTTTGAGCAGTAGTGTGATTCAATGTGCAATACACTTAAATAGATAGTGAAAGATTTTCAACATTTCAAAGTTTGAAACACTAGAAATTAACGTGTATAACACATTGAACCAAGGTGAAATACACTCAAAGTAAATGTGATTGTGCATTTAAAAAATCAAGTGTTTAAACACTTCTATCAAACGTGTGGAATTTTTTGAGTGTAGTCATGATTCTTTAGCTCTAATATTCGCGCCAGAAACACCAATGTTGCCTGCTGAAAAGTTGATTGAGTATAATCCTAAGACATCAGTGACTTGGATCATTAATAACTTTTGATGCTTGCATTCTATCGAAAAGTGATTTTAACAAAATTTTAGCTGAGAAAATTCCCTACGAGCACATATATTATTATTCAAAGCAAAGTAATATGGTGAATTGTTAGATGGATAAGAAAAAAAAATGGTTTTTCCATAGTAATTTCCATAGTAACTTGAAATGGTTTGTGCCATGCCCTTTTCTTATCAAATGAGTTCAAATTTTGGGAGACTAATCAAGACCCAATTTGGAACCGTTTAAGCACTGTGGAGCACAAATGTCAAATTTTGAATCAGTCTAGTGCTCATACTTTCGGTACAGTGGAAGCAATCTTTTTTTCATTAATTTATTCTTGATATATTTGTTTATTTACTGCCTATTTGCGGTAAAAAGAAGAGTAATAGCTTACTTTGATGTGATGTGATGTGATGTGATGTGAATGGAACCCAGCATCAATACAAGGATTACCAATGTCTGCAGATACTTTACTGGTTACACCTTTCCATTCGTACCGTAAGATTTGATAAAGAGTCATACATTGTTGAGATATTGTTTAAAATGCTTCTTGATTCTAAATTCATTCTACGAGTTTCAATTCCGTCCTAACGCATTAAAACCATAGAGGTAACTCTAAGACCAGAAGGTCCCGAATAAACGTGCTGAACTTTTTGGCTCAGCTCTGGTACTATCTTCGGTCCCAAGCTAATCGATTACCCCTCAAAACATTGGAAAATCCACTAACCCCTCATTTTATCTGTCAAACTTTCATAGCGAATCAAAACAAACATTGTGTAGTACTAGAATTTTGACTAGAATGGGGTTAGTTAATCGATTTGCTTGGGACCAATAGGTTAGTCAAGTAGTGAGCCAATTTAAAATCGTTAGTTTCGAATTGATTGTTGTTAAAACGCCATAAGATTTTCTTCGTCCTACGAATAAACGTAGGAAAAGGGGATTGTTTTGTTTTGAGAACAATGAGCTTAAATATTCATATAATGCACTCTGATAAGATTTATGTTGTAGCTAATAAACTAACGCATCGGAACAAACCTATTATTGATTGGTACATTGTGAAATCATTGATATTATTGATTTTTTTTCTGATAGATAGATCGGAAATATGCAAGAACGACGAAGTAGCGCTCTAATCTACTTCTGGACGATGCCAGAGAATAAATCGGATGTATTCCGAGAGAAACTTTGGGGAGATGTTGGAAGTATCTTCCAGGGGAAGTTAACTGAAAACTCTTATTGAGAAAACAAGGATGATGAATTTTCCAGGGGAATCAAGCAGGACTACTGAAATAAATGTCTGCAGGACATTGAAAAAAAAAGAAGTTTCTGAAAAACAAAATTGAGAAACTTCCTGTAAAGTTAGTAAAACAAAATCATGGGGAGTCGAAAACAATTATTGGAGAAATTGGAATTCTTCATGGATCGCTCAACAAAACTTAAAAAATGAACATTCTGATAAACCAATTTAATTTCTGGGCACAAGATGTTGTTGTCATTGATAATTCCAGGGGAAACTATCGAGAAAACAAGGATGACAAATTTTCCAGGAGAAACTGGAATTCCACGACGCTCAACAGAAGTTAAACAAATGAACATTCTGAAAACAATTTATTTACTGGGCAGCAACAATTATTTCGCATTCCGTCGATGTTAGTGCCCTGATTGCGCCAAACACACCGAGTGTGGACCGTGAGACCTACCATCCTAATCTTAAGTGAAAGAGCTTATGATATATCCAATTATTTGTATTTTACATTTTATTTTGGGGATCTGAAATTATGCTAGATGAAGTAGTGAAATCAAAATTAACTGATTGTGGTCAGTCTCAAACTGCCTCAAGCATTACAAATATTTGTAATTTTTCAATAAATATTTTGCAGATACATATTCACTGTTTACAAAATATTACTAAATTGCAATTGTTATGTTTTTTAACTGACTACAATCAACTAATGACTGAGCAGAGCAAACATTCCCGTAAACCAACGGAAACCGGCACATACCTACATATCAGTTATTGACAATAAATCCAAGCGGAACAGCACACATAGCGCAGCAAACAAATCAGCTATAATCTCGCTTTTTTGCATGATTGAAAAAAAAAAGTACACCGCTTCCGCATTTTTCACCTCAGGGGCTGTTCATAATCTACGTAGACCGTTTCCCAGAGGATTTAGCCCCCCCCCTCCCCCTGCGTAGACAATCGTCCATACACATTTTTTTTTAAATTTGTATGGACTGCTGACGCTTGCCCCCCCCCCACTAAGTCTCTACGTATTTTATGAGCAGCCCCTCAACAATAAAGCAACACCGCTAGTACCTTTGAGTACCACCCTCGAGTGCTCCACCCAGTATGGTACAAGCTCCCTCTCCTGTATCTCTCAAATAGAGGGTGCCAATTGGAGGCAGAAAAAAGCCCATTTTGCACTTCTCACATGTACCTACCTATATGCAGATTATGGCTATTACCTTTTAACAGTACGGGGGTGCTGTTGTATCTGTTCCAAAGCTTGGTCAGGTAGTGGAATGAAATGAGCTGTGGAAGCCTCGTCGCTGCCACTCTGACTGCCACACCACGCTGCTGTTGCCGCAAAGCTGATGATCAGCGTGTGTGAGGTTTTATGCTTTGTTAGCCGGCAGCTCTAGCTTCTCGTCTTCCATCCATAGGTGGATCCCATGTGGTTGTGTTGTGCTGTGTTGTTTTGATGCTACAGTTGTGTGGACGAGTGGCGAGTGGGTCAGACCAGACGAGCCGATAATTTCCATCAACATCTGTATCGAATCGGCTTAGCGGGAACTTGCATCAGGAGATATACACACAATACCACCGCACTTGCTCCGAGCTCTGATCACTCTATGCGCTCGGTGGTGGTGGCGGCTGGAGAGACCGGAAGATTTCCTGGAGTAGGAAAAGAAAGAGAATAATCAATTAGTTGATTGCCATTTATCGTCTTGATCGCAATGTCGGTACGATACTTGATTTGCCCTCCCTCTCGTAAGTGGTTTATGTACGGAAATTAGGATGAGAAAATTTTAACTTTGGATCGAGGGCTTTGAATTGTTGATATTACTTTTGTTTGCATGGTTCGCTTGCTGGCTCAAGCGGAAAAGTGCCTTCCGTAGGATCATTGCGGCGTTCACAGATCTCATAAAAGAGAAATGCGAAATAGGGTCACGGGATGTTATTCAGACCTCGCTGAAGTCCAGGATTGAAGCAACTTTTCAATCCGTTCTTGAATCTTGATAGTTCGGAAACTGCGATACTCTGCAGTGAAAACGATCAAATTCTCTTTTCTGTCATTGCTGCATTCTACTGAATTTCCCAACTGGTGGTGATCGTAAGCTACTTCCTACACACCGCCAAAATAAACATTTTCACGCAAATCAAAACTATTGTTGTTGTTTCCAGCCGGATTTCTGGGTTACTAGTGCACTGTGGTAGTTTCGGTTAATGGATCTTGATTTTTTTCATCGCGCGAATCCGGATCTGGACGGTGCTGGCGATCGGTGGGAAAAACCCAGGTCTAGCAGTGAATTAATTTACTACCTACCCGGTAGGCCAGTAGGCATTCAGCCCCAGTCTAAGCGGGTTCGTGTAGAGTTTCGTTCGTAAAATTATTTATTCACTGCTGTTTACATGGCTGTGACTAATTTGCGGCGACCACGCTGCGGCACAGAAGAACGTAGGAACATTGTAGCCCAGAGCTAGCTACCTGGTTACTCAGTGAAACTGTATTGTTACGGTAGATCACGAACATTTTTTTTTTATGCGATGCCTTAGATGGGATGGAATGGGAAAAGTAATGTTAGACTTTTTTTTGTTAATATGTGGAGTGATAACAATTTTACGTCCGTTCGGACTTGAGAGTTTATAAGGTTGTTCTCAATAGTACTAGACCGTGACTGTAACATCACTTAATGAATGGGAATGAAAATATGTATGAAGGTATCAACATCAACAGGCTGAATGTAGCCCCAATGATGGATAATAAAAGTTGCTTTAAATTATAGCCAAACGAATAAAATACATATACTCAGCACTCTCGCTTCAGGCCTGCCATGGTGGTTTTTTTTTTTTTTTTTTTTTTTTTAACTCTTTATTTGTTCCAAATTCAAAATAAATTACATTTCATTTTAACCTAGGTGCTCCAGTTACTGCAGTAACGTACCATCCTTAATTGTTATGATATATATCTAAGTAAAACAGCAAAAAAGGTTATCTTCCATTTAATTCCACTTAATTAATTTTGGTATCCATGACAGATACGTATTTCGACTACAATGTGCAGTCTTCATCAGTGTCATTCCCACTAAAGAACTTATCAAAATCTAACCCCCTTAAGTACTCATCCCCTAGGTAAAAAAAGCCAAGATCATAGGTATAAAAATGAAACTACAATGTGTTGAATCGGAACCTACCTAACTAATAAAAACCAAAGATTTAAGTAAGCTAAAGGAGAAAAATCTATAAAACTCTCTAAAAAGGAAAATCCCCAAAGGCTTGGTAGCCATCATAATGAAGTAATGAAATTGGGTTGTTAGCGGAATGCTAAATAAAACAGCAAAAAAGGTTATCTTCCATTTAATTCCACTTAATTAATTTTGGTATCCATGACAGATACGTATTTCGACTACAATGTGCAGTCTTCATCAGTGTCATTCCCACTAAAGAACTTATCAAAATCTAACCCCCTTAAGTACTCATCCCCTAGGTAAAAAAAGTCAAGATCATAGGTATAAAAATGAAACTACAATGTGTTGAATCGGAACCTACCTAACTAATAAAAACCAAAGATTTAAGTAAGCTAAAGGAGAAAAATCTATGAAACTCTCTAAAAAGGAAAATCCCCAAAGGCTTGGTAGCCATCATAATGAAGTAATGAAATTGGGTTGTTAGCGGAATGCTAAATAAAACAGCAAAAAAGGTTATCTTCCATTTAATTCCACTTAATTAATTTTGGTATCCATGACAGATACGTATTTCGACTACAATGTGCAGTCTATCCAATACCTATACCTATGATCTTGACTTTTTTTACCTAGGGGATGAGTACTTAAGGGGGTTAGATTTTGATAAGTTCTTTAGTGGGAATGACACTGATGAAGACTGCACATTGTAGTCGAAATACGTATCTGTCATGGATACCAAAATTAATTAAGTGGAATTAAATGGAAGATAACCTTTTTTGCTGTTTTATTTAGCATTCCGCTAACAACCCAATTTCATTACTTCAATATATCTAAGTGTTTTTACATTGTTCATGTCTTGGCAATTCAGTATTTTAAACAGGTTTTTTAACCTGCATGTCAGTATAACAATTGATATCTTAAAACTAAAAACTAAAACTAAATCTTATCTAAGTATAAAGGGAATTAATCGTTGCAATTGAGGATTGCAACGATTTTTGCCTGAAATTATTAATTATTTTGTTGGACATTTGTGCTAAAGTCTCAACATTCGAAATTCTATGTACTTCGGTTGTACTGTACCAGGGAGGCAACTTCAAAATCATTTTCAGAATTTTGTTCTGAATCCTTTGAAGTGCTTTTTTCCTGGTAGTGCAGCAACTAGACCATATTGGCACAGCGTAAAGCATGGCCGGTCTAAAAACTTGTTTAAATATTAGAAGTTTATTCGTCAGGCAAAGTTTGGATTTCCTGTTTATAAGAGGATACAAACATTTTATATATTTGTTACATTTGGCTTGAATGCCTTCAATGTGATCTTTAAAAGTTAATTTTTGGTCAAGTATTAATCCAAGATATTTCACTTGGTTTGACCAGGAAATTGGAACTCCGTTCATGTGACTACTACTAGGTTTCAAAAAGGAAGCTCTGGGCTTATGTGGAAATATTATAAGTTGAGTTTTGGAAGCGTTGGGAGAAATCTTCCATTTTTGTAAATAAGAAGAGAAAATATCTAAACTTTTCTGCAGTCTGCTGCAAATAACACGAAGACTTCTTCCTTTAGCGGAAATGCCTGTGTCATCAGCGAACAAAGATTTGTGGCAACCCTGAGGCAAATCAGGGAGGTCCGAAGTGAAAATGTTATACAATATAGGCCCAAGAATGCTACCCTGAGGAACTCCTGCCCTAACAGGTAGTCGGTTAGATTTGGAATTTTGATAATTTACTTGAAGAGTTCTGTCAGTTAAATAATTTTGAACTAATTTCATAATATAAAGTGGAAAATTAAACTTTTTAATTTAGCAATCAAACCTTCATGCCAAACACTGTCGAATGCTTTTTCTATGTCTAGAAGAGCAACTCCAGTTGAGTGGCCTTCAGATTTGTTTGAACGAATTAAATTGTTAACTCTTAAGAGTTGATGAGTAGTTGAATGCCCATGGCGAAATCCAAACTGCTCATCTGCAAAAATTGAGTTCGTATTGATGTGAAGCATCATTCTATTCAAAATTATCTTTTCAAAAAGTTTACTTATTGAAGAAAGCAAACTTATTGGACGGTAGCTAGAAGCTTCAGCTGGATTTTTATCCGGCTTCAAAATTGGAACAACTTTTGCATTTTTCCATTTATCAGGAAAGTATGCCAAATGGAAACATCTGTTAAATAATTTTACCACGAAAGACAAGGTACTCTCTGGGAGTTTTTTGATGAGGATATAGAAAATTCCATCATCACCTGGAGCTTTCATATTTTGAAAATTTTTAGTTATAGACCTTACTTCGTCCAAATCAGTCCCCCAGGAATCATCAAAAATATTTTCCCGAGAGAAAATATTCCGAAAATCCCGAGCAACCTGATTCTCAATAGGACTAGTAAAACCCAAACTGAAATTATGGGAACTCTCGAATTGCTTAGCAAGTTTCTGAGCTTTTTCCAAATTTGTGATCAAAATTTTACCACCTTATTTAAGCGCTGGAATAGGCTTTTGAGGTTTTTTCAAAATTTTTGTGAGTTTCCAAAAGGGTTTGGAACTCGGGTCTAATTTAGAAATATTATTTTCAAAAGTTTTGTTCCTCAGGGCAGAGAATCGCTTTTTAATTTGTTTTTGCAAATCCCGCCAGATAACTTTCATGGCAGGATCGCGTGTTCTTTGATATTGTCTCCTACGGACATTTTTAAGACGGATCAAGAGCTGAAGATCATCGTATATTATAATTGAATCGAATTTAACCTCGCATTTTGGTACTGAGGCAGCTCTTGCTTCAACTATAGAAGTAGTCAGAGATTCGAGAGCATAATTAATTTCATCTTTGGTTTGCAAAGGAATGTTTGGATCGAAGTTATATTCCATAAATGTTCGATACTGCTCCCAATCAGCTCTATGGTAATTGAAAGTAGAGCTGTTGGGATTACAAATTATTTCTTGGGATATTTCAAAAGTTACTGGAAGGTGATCAGAACCGAAGTCAGCATGGGTAACCAATTGGCTAAAAAGTTGACATGAATCAGTTAAGACCAAATCAATAGTGGAGGGATTTCTTGCAGAAGAAAAGCATGTTGGGCTGTTTGGATATTGAATAGTGTAATAACCTGCAGAACAATCATCAAACAGAATATTACCATTGGAATGGCTTTGAGCATTATTCCATGAGCGGTGTTTTGCATTAAAATCACCAATAATGAAGAATTTAGACCTATGACGGGTAAGTTTCTGGAGGTCACCCTTGAGAAAATTCTTTTGCTGGCCTACGCATTGGAATGGCAAATAGGCAGCTATAAACGTAAGTTGTCCAAATTTTGTTTCAACAGAAACTCCCAAAGTTTCAAAAACTTTGGTTTCAAATGAAGAAAAATTTTTATGTTTGATTCGTCTATGAATAATGATGGCAACGCCACCACAGGGTCCATCAAGACGATCATTTCTATAAATCAAGTAATTTGCGTCCTTCTTAACCTTATGGGCAGGTTTAAGGAACGTTTCAGTTATAACGG